AACCTAACCTAACCTAACCTAACCTAACCTAACCTAACCTAACCTGACCAACTTCATAAAGATAGGCATAAACTGAGGCTCTCCAAACTTAGGATTTGTGAACTTCAACTCCCAGAATTCTTCAGCTAGTGTTTTACTTGAACTAAATAATGGACAAGATTGTTCTTTTAGTTAAAAATAAATATTGTCTGGGTTTTAAAAACTCATTACAAAGAAAAATGATCTATTAATATTCACTGCCCAGAACCTCTTTTTGGGGGAGAGATGGGTAGTTAAGAAGTAAGAAAAAAAATCATATTTCTTTTCTTTTGTTTGTTTTTATATTTTTAATCAAAAGTTAGACATTATGGATGCTTTAATTTGGATACCTGCAATGAGCAGGGAGATGGACTTCACAACTTCTAATATAACTTGAGATGATAACTTTAAAATGGAGACTGGAGGTTAAGACTTCCAAGAGATTGAGTAATATGAGGATATTCATTCCTTTGGAGATCTATGGTCAAAATACCCTAAATAATTTGGCTATTCATTCCCTCTTGTGTTAAATTCTTAAGGAGGGTTCTTTTTCCAACATACTATATAAACTGTGCCTATGTACACAGACAGACAGACATGAAGGAGCATTGCACATATATCTGCACTCATCATTTTAGACTTTACTGTAACAAAGGTAAATAATACATACTTTCACTGTTACATATGCAAGAATAAGAGTTTTAGCCAAGCTCTTACATGATTCATAATAACAACTGACCCTAGTTGTTATTATGAATATTTTCCCTGCAAGGAAAAAAAAAACATACTATGATAAAGCAGCCAAAGTAATGTTAAAGCTCAGCTACTGGCTCCAAAACAAACCAGAATTGTATTTCTCGGAATGTCCATTTGTGTGAGAAAATGGAAAGCTCCCCCAATGCCTCTTCCCATGATAGTGACTATTTCCTAACAGCCTCAAGTGTTTAACATATTGAAACAGTTCATCTTCCTCCAATGAACTTTAATAACTCTGCCAGGTAAGACAATACGCTCCATACTTCTTCATATTGTCTAACCCTCTCAACATATCTATACTGATCTCCTCATCTGGTCAACTTTACAGCTTCGGTGTTTAGAGACCACTGAGCACAGTTATTACCATCATCAATAACCTGTCCCACGTTCTCCTTTTCATTTCTAATGCTTTCCCCTTTCCCCCTTCAAAATCTAATAATAGCTCTTTGCCATGATCACTGATCAATACGGTTGGGGAGGGGGCACCTGTTCACCTCACTCAACATGCCCTGCTAAAGGAACATGACAAAGGGACAAATATTGTGCTTATCAGCCCCCCAACGATTGTAAATAAGAAGTGAATCTTCCAACATATCCTTTGGGGTAGATTTGGCAGAAAACGACAGATAGCTTTCAAGACCCAAAACTAATTTCTCTCTATTCCCTTTGCTTCAGGTATGATCATTGAAAACATTAATAAACACAAAGATTTGTTGGCTTTTGCAACAGAAGGCTGCAGTAGCAAAGACCCGGCCCTGAGAAATGGAGACAGTCATGAAAGCCGAGGGATCTCATATTGATTCCAAAGCTTCAGGGAAACCTAAATAATAGATTGCATTTAAACACAAAAATAGAACTTTTTCTGCATTCAGACAGGTATCCATGTTTTACATAGTTTCTCATTTACAGAATTTACCTCAGTCCTCCATCCGTGTTACATCCATGGATACAACTGCCTGTAGCGTACAAGCCCAAGTCTTGTTATTTATAGGCTACAGAGCAGTGGTGGCTTTCAAAAATTGTTCGAACCTACTCTGTGGGTGTGGCCTCCTTTGTGGGAGTGGCTTGCTGCCCATGTGACCGGATATGAAGATGCCGACGACAC